TGTGGTGACCGTCCCTCAGCAATGACAACGCCAAGCTTGCCAACCGCAGTCCTGTCGTATCGGTCTTGAAGCTCCTTCAAACCCCCTGGTACCAGCTCTATCAAACCAGCTTGGAGTTCTTCCTTGATAAGCTGAGCAACAATGTCTGGGTGATCACGTGCGCTCTTCCAAGAGTCCATGCATGCCACTAATGGCTCCGGGTGGGGCACTGTACCTTCATGAACTGGCCAGGCAGGAGATGGGGTCAGATCGTCGTTGACACCCAATGGTACCCCCTTAACCAAGTCCAGCGTGGATCACCAAGAGATGATGCCAGCTGATACCAAACATGGAGCCACTAAATGGCTGTCCTGGTGGCACATGCAGCAAATGGTCACCTGGAGGGCACCCCGGTGTTTCGAGCAGGTCTGCAACATATGGAGCCAGTTCGTCTTTGGAAAGCGGAGGCTCCTTGCATCCCGACTGGAGCGCTGCCACCACCTTCAAACACTGCTTTGTGTCACTGAGTCGCTTGAACCATCGCGAACAAAGACTCTCCAAGGGATCCTTGGGAAGGCGTGCCATGTCGAAAGCTGAACTCGGTAGACCTCCACCATCTTCAATGCATTGATGTGGAGTCGGCCGCTGAAGCTTGGTTGGCAAAATGGTTGTCCAACTCTCCAATGGCAGTGCCACATTTCCTGTGGACAAATAAGGGGCAATGATTTCAGCGAATGCCTGAGCCAGAGCTGGCGGATATTCAGCAGTGAGTCGGCTGAAGAACGTGCCATCTGCCATGCGGACCCTGCAATGCTCATCATGATTGTGCGGGCAAGATTTTGCCACAGCGAAAATCTCAGCGCGGTTTGCCACAAACATCCACGTTTTGGCCCAATTCTTGCCAAATTGGCATGCTGAGGCTTGTGCTGCAAAAGGTGTGACTGTTCGTACCGACTGCACCATCAGAGGGTCATCAAATGTCATTGATGACGAAGGGTTTTCCAACACTGCCAAGCCCCCATGCTGATCCACTGCCGAGAGGATGGCCCTAGAGCGATCGTGAATAGCCGCGCTCTCTTCTACCGCCAGCTGCTGTTGTGGAGTGTTGGATGGAAGGCCGTCTGCTGTGCTTGCTGTAATATGGAGCTGCAAGCGCAGCCCCAATACCTCCCGAGGCTGCCAACAGTAGTTATCTAACCTCGGTTCGCCTCTCTTCCTACGCAACGTCGCGCTTGCGCATTCAACTTACAAAATTAAGTTGACACAAATTAAGAACATATATGTACATATATATATGTACACTCAAGTAACATATATATATATAATCAAATCAAAGCACACGAAGCTGCACATTCGGATGTGATGCAAGATGGAAAACTCACTGCTGACTCTTTGATATTAGATCTCCTTTTTCTTCTTTCAATAAATTGGGGAGCCGGCACGCTTTCGTGTTTGCGTAAGACACCTTCGTATCTCACGCCCGGAGGGGGGTTTTGGGAGGGCGGGTCAGCCTACGGGTAGTGAGACTTTTATCACCCACCCACCCTTGAAACTTAAAAAAAGATGTCACGAAACTGTAAAACAAACAGAGACCCACAAAAGGATCACACACTGAGCAAGTTTGTTTTGACAGATTTGTTTCAAGCAACATTCAACCAATGTTGTTTGGAAGTAATAGAAGTCAACTCAGAAACTTCGAACGCGAACTACGCAAGGGACGGGAGACGCACGCGTGGAGGAAAGAGAGGACGGTGGCCTACCACCTGTGAACCTGGTTATATAAAGGCTCATCACTAAAGTGAGACGCGGCTCATCTAACCTCGGTTCACCTCTCTTCCTACGCAACGTCGCGCTTGCGCATTCAACTTACAAAATTAAGTTGACACAAATTAAGAACATATATATATATATACATATATATATATATATATATGTACACTCAAGTAACATATATATATATATATAATCAAATCAAAGCACACGAAGCTGCACATTCGGATGTGATGCAAGATGCAAAACTCACTGCTGACTCTTTGATATTAGATCTCCTTTTTCTTCTTTCAATAAATTGGGGAGCCGGCACGCTTTCGTGTTTGCGTAAGACACCTTCACATCTCACACCTTCCACCCCAATTCATCCTCTCGTGAGATCATAGAAAGGGGAGCAGCGTTTGAAGCCTTTTGCTTCGAGTTCTGAGAATTGTAATCTGGAAGGGTCATCTCTCAAGTTTGACTTCGAGGGCACTCTGGAGTACCAGTGTAAAGCTTAACTCCACATCCAGTCTAGCATTGATGACCAACATCTCGTAGTTTTCAAGGACAGGAGAATATGAGCGAATGACCGCTGCAAGAGAAGAGTTGTTGTCAATGAACCAAAGAATCGCTCTGCCATAAAGCAACTCACGCCAGGTATTCTTGGCAACGATGATGGGGAACAACTCGGCCTGGCAAATAAGTTGCTTCTTACCTTCAGCTCGCCACTTCTCAGCCCAGTTTTCAGGCACATAGTCGCCAAACATGAGAGCTGTGCCATTTTCTGGATCGTACAGCGTGGCCCCATGAGTGACGCATCGACCATCTTCTTCACAGGCACCATCCGTGAAGAGAAGTAATGGCAATCTCCCGGACCAAGCAAATACCATCCTAGGTTTTGCGTCCATCAGGCATGACAGTGCTTGTTTGATGACTTCCTTCAAGGGCTCCTCCACAAGAACCAAGGGTTTTCTTCTTGTGACTCTGGATATGAGCTGAAGTGCAAGCTGTGAGCAGCGTCCAAATGTGTGTCCAGCCGCGTACAAAAGTCGTCCTTTCAAAGTTTCAAGCGTGGACAACGCAACAGTCTCGCTACCACAAATACTTTGTACCAGGCTTTGCAGGTCATTGATTCTGGACGGCTTGTTGTGTACAGCAATAGAGCCACAAGCGGCTTTTGTCAAGTCAACAACTGCTCCAAGCAAGTTAAACTCTTCTGAGAAGGGTGAACGCTTGTCCTCGGACATCGAGATGCGCCACCCTAGGAGCTTCATAACGAGCTCAGCTGTCTCCCAGGCGGAGTTGCAAAGCCCTTCGCGCTCAAGCTGGCAAAAGTCATCAAAGAAATTTGTGTTCACCACCATAAAAAGCTCTGAAAGAATCAACGCAGTGATTTGGCCATCCTATTGAATGCCATTACAGCACACACAGAACCAAACGGTAGTGCTATCGACTCATAGAACTCCACTGAAGACGTGTCGGTGTTCCACACCGCAAGGATTTAAATCAAGCGCTCTTCCAAGGATCTTCTTCCACGGGCCGAAAAAGTCTCTGACACCTTCTGCGCACCACAAATTTTCAAAGGTTTCATCCATCCTCAGAAAATCGCACCCCAAAAAGGTGCGTGCTGTGTTGACCACCTCATCCAAACCAAAAAGCTGCAATTTCTCCGTCGCCGTCACTGAGGCGTTTATCAAAAATTCTGAAAAGTCATCTACAGCTCTGATCTTGTTCCCTTGCCGTACACCAAATCTCTTTGAAGGGATCCAACAACCAGAGTATTTCTTATCAAGTTCAGATGAAGTGAATGGACCCTTTACCCAACCGTCCTGCAACTGCTGAACGGTTTCATCGTGAACTGCTTTGGCCACCTCAGGGTCTGCACCAACGCGCCTGCAAGAGGCGTGAATCATCTTCTTCGCCCAAACAGCGGAATCTCTGAGTTGTTGCACTGAAATCATTGCAGGTTTGAGACGCGCTGGAAATTGTTTGGACTCAGGCATCTCACCAGTCAGCCTGAAGCCTTCAACCAGTTCTTGAAAAAGAGTTTCATCACCAACGTTTGTGTCAGCGGCCATCTCTTTGAGCAACAGCAAGCGTTTGCCCTCCAGGACGCGTCTAACGTCTTCATCAAGAGACTGTTTAAGCAAGTTCTCTTCAGAGGCAAGTTGTTCTGCCCTCTGCGTATATTTTTTCAACTGCTTCGCTCTAAAAGCCAGGACCTCTGCAGTGGAGTGATCCCTGATGAAGACTATGGCCTTGAGGTTGCTCTTGTCAACTGTGTGCGGGTTATCCAGTGGATGCTCAAGAGTCAGAGCCTTCTGCAAAAATTCAAAAAGTGACCTAAAAACACCAAAAGTGGAAATAGAGACCTCAGACCTCCTTCTTCTCGCCATTCATCCCCACTTCCGTCAACTTTCGAGAAGATATCAGCTTGGAGTGACTTGGCACTCCTTGAAAAGGTTCATGAACGTTTTCAGCAATTTCAGACGGAATGTCGACATCTGCAGATTTGATGTCAATCTTAAACTTGAAGTCTCCCAACAACAATGGTGCCTGTGCACCTCTTGGTTGCAAACCTGATCCCATGCGCTGCTCTTGGTCCAGTTGTGCGCCGAGCTGGGATAACATCTTACTCTGTTGCTGTAGTCTGTCAGTAAACGCAACGGCCAGTTGGCGGCACAAGCCGCTTGGGTATTCAGTTTCCAAGCTTGTCGAAAATTTTATCTCAGAGCCAACTGATTGTTCCACGATGCCCCAAGGTAAATGTGGGTGACAGTCGTCACATTCCAACAGCAGGTTTGCAGCATGAAAATTCATCAAGAAAGAGGTACGTTTCCTCCGTTTGCCGCCATACATGCATGAGTGTATGTGCTGAAAATGGCAATTGCTTGGCAGCATCACGAAGGGATCCGTCAACCACATAAGTGACCTGCGGGGGTTTTCACAAACGAAAGGAATGCCTCTAACCTTCCGTGCAAAAGCATACAACTTGTTGGCTGCCACTACCTTGACTCTTGCAACACCTCGCAAGCTTGAAAGGCCCATTGGTTCTGCTTCTGATCTCAATGGTGCTGGTTGCATTCCTTTTCTGAGTCTATGCCTTTGTGGCACTGGTATTTCACGTGCTCTTGATGCTGTACCACATGGTGGCGCCAACATTACAGCGTCTACCTTGCCCGATTCAATCCATTGCAGCACTGTGGATTGTCCGTCCCTTTTTGAAAGGTCAACTTTGGCAACTGGACCTTTGACTCTTCTCTTATCTATTATGTGGTCAATGCCCAAGCTCTCACCACCCAACGCTCTAAACGCTGCAGCCACTCCAGCTGTCCCACAAAATAAATCCAAAAGAAAAAGTTGTTTTGAATGCGCTGTCGCACCCGTGCCTGCAGGTCCATCAACTTCTTGATTTGCAGCAGGTTCAAACTGAGCCGATGGCTTTTCATCGACTTCGAAAAGTTGCTCATGCCCTTCGGCATTTGATGTGTCCGTTGCTGAGCGCTTTCGCTTTGCAACCATCGAAAGCTGTGGGCATCCACTGCCCTCAAAAAGTGCGGCTGGCCCACGCTTTCGTGAGTCTGCCACTAGGCAACCTTCGTCGCCTTGTGACTCGATCAATCTCTGACGTCCACTGCTTTCAGTGCATAGTCAAGCTCCCTTCTTGTGAGCCGTCACAAAAGCATGCCGTTTGTTGCAGTCTTTCTTGCAACAAATGTGAAGACCTTTTAGACAATCGCCGGAGCTTGGGCAGGATCCAAGATTGAACCCAAAACAGATTGGCTGCCCTTCTTCATTGCATGGCACACACCCCACCAACTTTTTTGGCATTGGTGTCCTTTTCAACCGCTTGATCTTGAGCGCCTCCTGCTTGTTCTTGCTGGGCTCTGTTCTGTTTGGCTTGGGCTCGTCCTCCTTGGATGTCTTGCCAACGTTGGTGTCGGCTGTTAAGCTTTTTCCAACTGATCGCTTTGGCAGCGGCATTAGCAACCACTTGAGTTCTGGGCCGTCCAAAATGGTCTGGACGTGCAAATCCAAGGGAAGTTCTCCTGCGGGCCCGTTTCGAAAGCCTGCACGTGTAGCTTCAGCCAGCCTCACATGTAACTCCCTGTCCGCTGCTGCAACTTGTTGCAAGGTCACTTGAGCGAACCCTTCCACGGGCTCCTTCTTCAACTCAAAGAAGAAATAGTTGATGATTCTCTCGTGCACCTCAAACGACATCGCCTGAGCCACTTCATAAGCAACTCCACGCCTCCTCAGGGCGTGATGGACATCAAGCTCCGTAGTGAGGACAGCTGACATAGTGGGCTCCTTGCTTGTAGCCCTGATTGCACCTGAGCTGTCAGCTTTCCAAACTTTCAAGTCTCCATCCTCCTTGATGTTGTTCACCTCCTGGGTCCTTGAAGTGCATCTGGACCATTCAATGTATCTCACCCTGCCGTCTTCAACGCATTGCACCAGGGAGTTGACCAGGTGATGAGAAGGTTCCAGGAAATTTGCTATAATCAAAGGACGGATCCTCTCTTGCAGCATCTCAATTCTCTGAGAGATTTCTGGCGCTGGAAGTTTCCTGGGCGCCTCTTGTTCAGTAGCGTCAACCTTTCTCCGCATCTCAGCAGCTGTCAATGTATGTGATTTGAAGAACAATCGCCTCAACTTTGGGGCGTCCCGATGGTCAGCATTGCCAAGCAGGGGCACTATGACGCCATCTGCAAAAATCTGCTCGTCTCCACCAGGCGTTGTTGCAACAGAGAATGCATATGTTGCATGCGACACCCATCCTCTGAGTGTCATTTGGGCAATGACCTGGTCGTCGATGCCAATTGATCTGGCCCTTGCTTCAAAGACTGCTGCACTATCCACCAAAGACATGGCTGCGTCTATCTCAGGTGCACGGTTAAACAAATGAAAACAAGAAGAATTCAAACGTTGACATGCTCAGTGGAGTCCTTTGCAGTGCACTCAACTGGATGATTCATTAAGACCAAAAAACAAATCCTGCGGAGATTCACATTCCCACTGCTGTTCACATGTGCCCCACGACAGCTTTCTGTCATCTGGAGCCTTCCACGTCCACAGAAAAAAAAAACCGTTCATGATCTTCTGGTCATGGCTTGCAGCGACGTGGACTGAACGTTGTCTTCGTGCAAGACAAGTTGAAATCAAATCGGACATTCACGAAAAAAAACGTTTGTTTCAAATTTGGATTGCAACACGTGACTCTCAGAATCTGTCCCTTCCTACACGCACTCAAGCTTCCAACACTTTTGCGCTTAACGTTCAGTGATGTCAGCGCGAGGTTCCATGCCACTCTTGGCATATCGACCGTTGCAGTTGAAAGCACAACACTGCGTGGTATTTCCATTTCATCCATGAAAAGAAAAACAGGGCACAGAAAACAATTTGAGAGTGAAACATCAGTGCACAAATCAAAACTGCAAAGCTCACGACCCACGTCTGTTGCTGCGCCAGGCAACTGTGGAACTGCGTCCCTTCTGTTCCGGTGACAGGGCGTGCAAGGAAAATGCATGGACTTGCATTCATGCAGTACAGCTTTGACATGGTAAATGAGAACAATAAAAATGTTTTAAAGTCCAGCTTACGGCGCCAACCAGTCAACACCTCCTTGTTACAATATGGAAACTTGAAAGTGCGAAAACCGACAAACACCAAAAATGAAAACTGCCGTGCATCAAACAACTGACATCTGAACGAACGCGCAGCCCTCTTTTTCCATTGACAACGATGGGAGTTGTCCAGGTACAGGCCTCATTGGCCAAACTTTGAAAAACCTTCAGCAGCCATCCATTGCATGTCCATTGGATCTCATGGGTTGATCCGTTCATTCAGGCTTTGCATGGTTCAGAGGGTGGCACCAACGCCAAGCACTTGCACCAGCTTGACGGTGCCACATACGTCACACACATCACTGAGTCAAACCCCCGGCTGATTCCATGGGTCACGGTGCGGAATCCGCCGTGGCAAGACTGGAGTACGAGTGGAACCATTTCCTCCAGTCGAAGCAGCAGGTGGTGGATCCAGTACAGGCTCGTGACCCAGGGCAAGGAAGTGTTCAGCAGCCTCGAAGATTAGCAATGCGTCTTCAAGCATCGACAACGTTTCGGCGTGTAAATACACGTCGTAACTCTCCCGGAACCATTGTCGGAAGTTTTCCAAATTGGTTCGACCACGTTGGAGGAGAACCTGGTGAACACGGAACTCTGGGTCGCATACTGCTGACAGTGGCCGCCAACCGGGAGGTAGGGCCAAATGACCAGGGGTCTGTACTGGATCATTGGGGAATAACGCTCTTTCAAGAGCTGCCAACGCTGCAGTAGACGTCACCCAGACGTCGAACACGCTCTTAAGGTATGGTGGCTTCCCGAGAAACTGCAGGAGGGCAAGGCATGCTGCAGCTATGTCTTCGAACTGGCGCACTCTGGTGTCAGTCTCCAACCCTTGGAAAAACATCAGACCGATGGAGGTCGCAACCGCAAAATCCACTATGTTGGGCTGTTGCATCAGCGGTGTAAAAATCCCGGGTGGGAGTGGTGGGACTCGAAAATTCCCTTGAGGAAAAAAGGCAACTTAATAAATAAGTTCACATGCTTTCCCACAGCCAACCGAAGAGGTACAAATGTTGTGGAAAGAAATGGTGAACTCAAACAAACTGGCAAGACAAGTTTGGTTGAAACACTCAAGCTTCAGCAAGTTGTTTGGCAATACACGGTTTGGATACGAGGTGCGATATCCAAGAGCCGGTCATCTACATTCTTTTACAGTCGATGTTGCGCGGTTGCCCTTAGGGGTTGGGGTAACCATTGAGTTACAGCATTATCCAGTTGGATTCTTCTTAAGGTTTCGCACAGGTGTTTATCTTGCTCGCGTGATCTAGGCAGGGCCGCGAGGTTTGCATTGGATAAAGGCGAAGCTGGTAGGCTAAAAGTTTGTTGACAAACTTTTCTTCAGCTGTACTTTAATGCACTATCAACGCGTTGACCGTAAGCTTAAAGTCCAGCTTACGGCGCCAACCAGTCAACACCTCCTTGTTACAATATGGAAACTTGAAAGTGCGAAAACCGACAAACACCAAAAATGAAAACTGCCGTGCATCAAACAACCGACATCTGAACGAACGCGCAGCCCTCTTTTTCCATTGACAACGATGGGAGTTGTCCAGGTACAGGCCTCATTGGCCAAACTTTGAAAAACCTTCAGCAGCCATCCATTGCATGTCCATTGGATCTCATGGGTTGATCCGTTCATTCAGGCTTTGCATGGTTCAGAGGGTGGCACCAACGCCAAGCACTTGCACCAGCTTGACGGTGCCACATACGTCACACACATCACTGAGTCAAACCCCCTCTTATCCGAATTTGGTTACAGGTTATCTAAACACTTAGCAACAACAAGGCCTACCAAGTGCGGTGACAATGGGTTCACTGTCAACCCCTTCAAGGATCCCCGTGAGGGAGCATCAGCAATGTTGCTCTGGGAGGGGACCCTGGCAAACCAGGAAATCATTCCAGCGGCATCCTCAACTTCGAGCAGTTTCCCTACCAAGCTATCGCCAGGAAATGTGCGAGCAGTTCCACTGATACTGACATCTCTTGTCGAGTTGTTGTCAATGTAGGCAACACATGGTCGACCCCTCAGGAATTTCTTCCACAACATAATTGAGACCAAAAGGGCAAGCAGCTCGGCTTCAAAGATGACGGTCTTCTTCTGGGGGAAACCCAGTGCCTCCAAGTCCTTACTGGCAAGTTTGTAGGAGAAGGCCGACACCTGCACCCCTTGGGAATCAACTAGCACCCCGCCAAGGCCGGCCGGCCAATCCTCAACTTCAGGCGAGAAGGAAGCATCAGTGAAAAGGAAGAGAGGAGCACTCCAATCAGCTGATATCACCCGGGGTTGGGCTCGCACAAGGTGGCATCTGAAAACCTGCAAGAAGTTCAGGGTGCGTTCGCTGAGGGCATCGCCATCCGGACTAAAGGCATGTGAAGTGATGGCACTCAGGCACAGGTTTGCAGATCTACCCCAAAGTTGAGCTTTCGCAAACTGCATCCTGCCACGCAAGACCAAGGCGGCTTGTTTGCTCAAGCTCTTGGTGGCTAGTATTTCATCGATGGTTGCAAGGAGTTCAGTGACCCTCTTCTCAGTGTTGGAAAAGGCAACCTTGCCCTCCGGCCATTTGGTACAGTCGATCTCTATTCCAAGGGCCTTGAAGCGGTCTGCAAAAGGGAGGTCTTTTTCTCCCAAAGACACACCCCAGCCCAAGAGCTTGAAAAACTGCAAGGTCACAACGGAAACCATCTCCGCCTCTTGACAACGTGCAAACGTTATGAAGTCATCGAAGAAATTACTCCAGGCCAATTTCAAAGCTTTGCATCCCAACCACCATAGGGAATGCGCCACACGCAGGAACCCATAAACTGACCTGCTTGCTCCAAAGGGGAGCGCACGCATTGCAAAGATGCGGGGTGACCTGGTACTGGGGTCATACACCGCTATATACGAAACCCAATAAGAGCCAGGTGCCACACCCAGTTGTCGGTATGCCGACGCGAGGTCAAAGGTCTTTCCCAGCCACGCATCATTCCCAGGCACTCTCAAAAGTTCAAGGCAAAGAGCAGCTGCAATGTCCAAGGTGTGCAGCTTGGTCGCATTCTCAACCTGTACTGTATCATTTACTCCAGAGGCCGAAAAGTCGTCAATCAGCCTTATTTTCGAGGTGTCACCTGAGTTTTGTCGGATGCCAAAGCGCCTGCTGACCACAGCTTCGTCTGGCAAACATGACACTTCAAACGGGCCAGCCAACCAACCACAATTCAATTCCTCAATGGTCTTTTCATATACCGTAGCGTCTATCTCGGCGTCACCGGATGAGCGCACAGTGGACAGCAAGGAGGTGCGGGATGCTTTCGCTGAGCTGGCCAACTCTTCGGTGGAAATCTTGGCAGGTTTGAAGCAGGGATCAAATGCGGGTACTGCAGGGGCGGCACCAGCAAGGTGGATCCCTGAGGCAACTTCATCAAACACCTCAATGTCAGGGTATCCATAATGAACGAGCATCTCCCTCCATAGGAGCAACCTCTTTGGGGCGAGGATGCGGCCAAGTGCTTCCGGGAAGCTGTCATGCAGTTCTTTTTCACTGGAGCTCAAAGCCCTTGCCCTATCCAGCCAGTACGACAAGGTTGCATGACGCTCTTTAGCCAACTGGAACACGGACTTAGACGATATGGCATTTACTGCTTCTTGCAGAACATGTGGGAGGCAGTTTGCCCTGGACACTGGATGTCCAGCCTTCACCGCAGCCTCCACAAACTCTTCACATGAGCGATAAACACCAAAGTGGGCCACATGAGTCGCATCATCCTCATTGTTATGGCTACCCAGGTTAGAATTATCCTCATTGTTATGGCTACCCAGGTTATTTGGGACAACTTGGTTACTACTACCCCCATTTAACCGCAAAGGGGGGCGCTTGAGAAGCTTGGAGCCGGCTGGCACTGCTTCAAATGGCTGGGACAAGGCATGGCCGACTTGGACTGGAAGGCGAGACAAGGAAACTGGGACTCGGACAACCTTGGCAAACTCAGACAACATTGGGGGCAGCTTGCTGGCTTTGGGCTGGGAACCTACAATTGCACGCAGGTAATGATAGGACAAAGTGTCCGGTGGTGCAAGTTCAGCGGGTGGCGGTTGCCAGCCCTGGTGAAACAATTGTTGTGCGATGGCATATGCCATGGTATAGGCCAACAACGGCGGGTAAGCTGCTTCTTCGGCAGTGGAAAATTTTCTTTTGTCATCAACATCGACAGCAACACCCCAAGGTTTGTGCTTATGAGTTTTGCCGACACCTGGGCACGTTTTGCAAACGCCAG